GAAAGGTTTATTTAACTTACAGTTTGTAGAGGTTTCAGTACATAATTGGCTGGCTCCAAGGCATGGTGACAGGCCAGACAGGCCTTGCAGAGAAGAAACATGGATGCCAAAAAGTAACAAAAGCAACAAGGAAGCAAGGAGAGCCCTCAACAGAGTCTTTCTGCCTCTTTTATTTTATGCAGACTACTTAGGGCAGGTAGTACTCACACTCTTAATACTAGTCCCCTTGAGCCTAGCATTGCACCATGAATTAATTCCAGAGGGAACCCCACAAGTCCCATTTGAGTGATGTCCATTCATGTTTTTGGTATGTCCAGAGATCATGGCTGCATGAGGCTTTGAGGTGACATCTAGACACAAGCTGTAACATCACTCTATCCCAAATAGTGCAAGGGATTTATTTAACCCATCTCACAGTTTGTTTTGTGACCATTACTGAAATAATTGTGACCTCATTTTCTGAATAATCATAATCACTCACTGCTCTAATAAATTCTTTCAGAAGCCTAAATTAATGAAGTGAATAACAATTACAAATGAAATATTTGAGTGCTACAATTTAAAATGCCCAAATTATAGGGTCTTTGGAGGTAGCGCAGAGGTACAGCATTTGCCTAGTATGCGTGAGGCCTTTGGTTTGATCTCCAGCACTGCAAAACCAACAACAAAACAGAAAACACAAATATACCTACGAAGAAAAATAAGTAAATAAAATGCCCAATTATGATGGTGTTATAATTCAGTGGCTCTTTTACTGCTGTTGTTATTCTTATTTTACAAGCTATATTATAGATTAATAATGATTAGCACTGCTGATTCTGAATATTTAAGATGCTAAATTTAAAACATTCCCTTGTGTTAGATTAAGAAAATGAGATGAGTGTTTCAATATTTAGGGACAAGAAGCTTGAATCAATTATACTGGCCCTGTCTGAGAGGTTTTGAATGATGCAAAATGAGAATACATCAAGAAAATTCATTTGGGTATTGAGATGACCTAAATTTATTTATCTTTTTTATTTTTAGTATGTTTTATGTGAATATAAAGTCCTAAAGTCAATATAATTACTGGAAAATTTCCCCCAAATAAGTGGTGTATTGTAATCTAAACTATGGGATGGGATATAGCTCAGTGGTAGAGCATGTGCTCAGCATTCATGAGGCCCTGGGTTCAATGTTCAGTACAGCAAAAAGTAAAAATAAAAGATAAAATATTGTATACAAACATATTATCTAGAGATATAGAAGACAGATGTGATACATGTGACTTTTTGAAGTTGTGGAGTTTAGATTCAGTGACTTTTTTTTGTAGTTTCCTTTGGTGCTGTTTCTGTTTACTTATTCAACAAGGTAGTATGGCAATAATATTCCAAATAAAATTTAGTAATATTTCATGAGTTATTTGAGTGATGTCTATCCATGTTTTCGGTATGTCCAGAGATCATAAATGGGTAAGAAAGTGGTCATCTTTCTATGTTTTTAAAAGACCTCCTCCTTGAGCACATTAGTCTGCACTATTAGGATTAGAGTACAGTAAGAGTCCACAGAGCTTTCAAGGAAAGATAACAAATAGATATAAATAAATACATGAATAAATACAATGTAACATAAATTTTTATGTTTGTTAAAGCTAGGTCTTTACTGTTTTCTTGTTTTTCTCTCACAGGCATTTCTTCAGGATGCAAATGTTATTTGAAAAATAAAGTGCCTGGAATCATAGTAAATGTAGAAGAGAAATCAAACTTCTGCTTTTGGGATATTAACCTGAGTAGAATAAGAGACTTCTGAGAAAGCAGAGATTAGCTGTGTTCTGCCATTGAATGCAGTTCTTGGTTTATCTTTGTGTATTAATAGTTTTTTGAAATCAAAGTTTAAATGCATACACAATATTGTATACAAATACAATAATAAAATTGTGCTCTATTTTGCTAGGAATATTATTTTCTTATATGATTAACATTCCATAGTAAACATTTAATGATGTGAATTATGTCTGAGAGTGCCAGTAAGAAATGATTATGTGTTTTGTATGATTTTGAAATGTACAGCCCATTTTTATAATTTTTATTTAATAATATTTAATGCATCTATTGAAATTTATGATCTTTATTACATTGGTTTGCAATGTGAATTTTATTAAAACTGAAATATGAGAAATTTGTGTTGTTTTTCTGTTTTGGTACTGGGGATCAAACTTAGAACCTCGCACTTGCAAGGCAGGTGGCAGCACCACTGAGCTAATCCCCAGCCTGTATTGTTTTTCTTTGACTAAAGGATACTTGTGATAAAGGGTATAATATTGAAACATGTTGCTATATATGTATATGTGTATGAATATGTATTTTTACAGATAGCTGAGATCCTGAGACAATTTTTGTCCTTTGAAGCTATTCACATAGAATTGCTGTCTTAAATAGAAAGATATCCAGTAGTCCTTGGGCAGGGGAGATATGCATAAGGGAGTGAGAAGAGTGAGTGTTGCCTAGAATATAACAAAATATCCTGATACAAAATATTCCATTTTATTTAAACACAATAATGAAACCCTCAGAAACCTACAACAGAACAATTGAAAAGGTCTATCCTTTTTTGTAAAGAGGCATGACAGGATTTATTAGATAGAATTTAGCAAATACACATTCAATGAAATAGAGTACTGGTCCTCAAAAGGAAGAGAGACACCAGAAATTCAATATTTATCTATATTTTTGTGTAATCTTTTCAAATTTTTTTATTTTGGTTCTTTTAAATACATATTTGTCCAAAGAAATATGAATTTTTTCACATTTTAATAAATTTTAATTTATCCCATTTCCGCCCAGTCCCCTTCCCTCCCTATGTACAAAAGCTTTGTTTCTATTTTTTCCTTCTATTTTCACTTTTTCCCTTGTCTCTTGCTTCCTTTCTCCTTCCCTTCTCCCTTGTTCCCCTTCACATTTGGATGCTTTCTTCCCATTTCCCAACATCCAATATACATCTCAGTCTTTATTTCCACTTGCAGTTTCTCACACCAGAAAAACAATGCAGTATTTAAACGTGTGTCCAATTTATTTCACTTAAGAGTATGGTCTCAAGTTCCACTCATTTAGCTATAAATGTCTGAAGCTCATCCTTCTTTATGGTGGAGTAGAGCTCCATTGTAAAAAAAGCCCCATCTTTATTCACTTGTCAGCTGATAGGCATTTGGGCTGGTTCCAAGATTTAGCTATTGCAAATTGTGCTGTTATTAACATAAGTGTGCATGTATTGCTGTAGTATGATGCTTTTCATTCTTTTGGGAAGATAGCTAGAAGAGGTATAGCTGGGTCAAATAGAACCTGTAGTTTTCATTTTTTGAGAAATCTCCACACTGATTTCCACAGTGGTTACACCAGTCTACACTCCCATCAGCAGTGGAGAAGGGTTCTGTTTCCCCCACACTCTCTCTAGCATTTGTTATTGGGTGATTTCTTGGTAGCAGCTATTCTTTCTGGAGTGAGATGGAATCTCAGTGTTGTTTTAATTTTCATCTCTCAAATGACCAGTTATGTTGAACATTTTTTCATATATTTATTTGTCATTACTAACTTTATCTGAGAAGTGTTTTGATTTCAGATGCCCAATTTTGCATTGGGTCTTTAAATTTGTGAGGGGGGTTGATTTTTTTGAGTTTTTTATATATTCTAGATAATAGTCCTTTATCTAAATGGCTGGTAAAAAATTTTTCCCACTCTGTGGGTTGTCTCTTCTCTCTGTTGGTGGTCTCTCTTGCTGTTCAAAAGCTTTTTCCCCACCTCATTGAGTTTATTGGTACATTTTAGGAATACATTACAGTTACATTGACTATTGGGATCTTGTACCTTTACATGACAGGTGTTGGTTCTCATTTTTCCCCTTACCCCTTCCCTCCCTTCACCCCCTCCTCCTCTGCCCATTTACAAATGCTTTATTTCCATTTTTTCTTTTTCTCATATTTTCTCTTTTCCCTTATTACCTTTCCCCTACCCTTCCCACTTTCACCACACATTTAGCCCTTTTCTTCCTATTCCACATTGTCAATGATCTCATTAGGATCTTTTGTACTGTTACAGTTATTCACACCAGAGAAACTATTCAGTATTTATACATGTGTGACTTATTTATTTCACTTAGGAGTATATCCTCAATATATATCCATTTAAATATGAATAAATCTAATTTCTGATTCTTTATGGCTGAGTAGTATTACATTTTATAGAAAACCCACATCTTTATCCAGTCTCCAACTGATGCACAAATGGGCTGTTTCCAAGTTTTAGCTATAACAAACTGTGCCACTATAAACATAGGTGTGCATATACCACTGTGATATGATTTTAATTCTTTTGGAAAGATACCCAGCAGAGGGATGGCTGGGTCAAATGGAACCTATAGCCCCAGCTCTTTGAGGTATCTCCATATTGATTTCCATAGTGGGTGCACCAGTCTGCACTCCCACCAACAATGGAGAAGGGTTCCTTTCTCCCCACAACCCTGCCAAAATTTGTTATTGAATGATTTCTTGAAAGCAGCCATTCTTTATGGGGTGAAGTGGAATCTCAATATTGTTTTCATCTGCATCTCTTGAATGACCAGTGATGTGGAACATTTTTTCACATATTTACTTGCTGCTTTTACTTCTTTGTTGAGAAATGTCTGTTCATTTCAGATGCCCATTTTTGAATTGGGTCTTTATATTTGGGGGGGACTGATTGCTTTGAGTTCTTTATATATTCTAGATAAGAGCCCTTTGTCTGAGGAGCAGCTGGTAAAAATTTTTTCTCACATTGTAGGCTGTCTCTTAGTTCTGTTGATGGTTTCTTTTACAATGCAGAAGCTTTTTAATAAGATGAGATCTCAGTTGTTGATGCTTTGTGTGAGTTCCCATGCTACAGAGGATTTGTTCATAAAGTCTTTTCCTATGCCTATGTCTTCCAGAGTTCTGCCTAACTTATCTTCCAGCAAGTTTAGTGTTTTTGTTTTAATATTTAGATCTTTAATCCACTTGGATTTTAATTTAGTGCATGGTGAAAGATAAGGGTCTAGTTTTACTCTTTGGCAGGTTGAGATCCAGTTTTTCCAACACCACTTATTAAAGAGGCCATCCTTCCTCCAGTGGGGATGGTCAGCTCCTTTGTCAAAGATGACATAGCTGAGTACATCTGGAGTTGTTTTTGTGTCTTCCAGTCTGTTACACTGATCCTCAGATCTGTTTCTTTGCCAGTACCATGCTGTTTTTAATCACAGTGGTTTTGTAATATAGTTTCAAATTGGGAATTGTTATACCCGCTGGCATGTGTCTGGTGCCTTTTGCTACTCTAGGTCTCTTCTGGTTCCAAATGAATTCTTGGATTCTTTTTTCTAGTTCTATGAAATATAGTGTTGGAATTTCAATTGGCATTGTATTGAATCTGGATAGCAGTTTTGGAAGTATGGCCATTTTCACTATGTTGATTCTTCCTACCCAGGAGCAGGGATATCTTTCCATTTTCTTATATACTCTTCACTGTCTTTTTTCAGAGTGCTATAGTTTTTGCTGTAGAGGTCTTTTGCTTCTTTTGCTAGGTTGATTCCTAGATACTTCATTTTGAGGGTGGTGTTATTGTGAAAGGAATTATTTCCTAATTTCTGTTTCCATGAGTCTGTTATTGGTGAACAAGAAGGCTATTGACTTTTTTGTTTTGACCTTGTATCCTGCTACTCTGCTAAAAGTGTGAATTAAATCTAGAAGTCTTTTGGTGCAGTTTATTGGTTCTTCCATTTAGAGTATCATATTGTCTGCAAATAATGACAGTTTAACTTCTTCCTTTCCTATTTTTATTGCTTTAATTTCTTTCTCTTTTCTAATTGCTGTGGCTAATGTTTCCAGAACTATATCAAAGAGGAGTGGTGATAGTGGGCATCCTTGTCTTGTTCCTGATTTTAACATGAAAGTTTTCAGTTTTTGGCCCTTTAATATGATGTTAGCTCTTGGTTTTTCATAGATAGCCTTTATTAAGTTGAGATATAGACCATCTATTCCAATTTTTTGGAGGGCTTTTATCATGAATGGGCGTTGAATTTTGTCAAATGCTTTTTCCGCCTCTATCTAGAGGACCATATGGTTTTTGTCCTTGACTCTGTTAACATAGTGTATTACATTCATTGACTTACATATGTTGAACCATCCTTGCATCCCTGAAACTCCGACTTGGTCAGGTTGTATGATCTTCTTGATAATCTTCTGTATTGTGTTTGCTAGTATCTTTTTAAGGATTTTTGCATCTATATTCATTAAGGAGATTGGCCTGTAGTTCTCTTTTTTAGTTGCATCTTTCCCTGGTTTGGGAATCAAAGTGATACTTGCTTCCAGGAATGAATTTGGAAGTATTGCTTCCCTTTCAATTTCATTGAAAAGTTTGAAGAGTAATGGCGTAGTTCTTCTCTAAATGTTTTGTAAAATTCAGCAGTCAATCCATCAGGACCTGGGCTTTTCTTTGTTGGTAAGTTTTTAATTACATTTTCAATTTCATTGATTGTAATTGGTATGTTTAACTCGTTTTTATCTTCTTCATTCAACTTTGGTAATTCATAAGTATCTAAAAATCTGTCCATTTCTTCTATGTTTTCCATTTTATTAGAGTACAGGTTCTCATAGAGGGTATTAATGATCCTCTGGATTTCTGTGGGATCTGTGTGACTTCGCCTTTTTCATTTCTGATTGCATGGATCTGAG